TAAAACAAATCAGCTTGAGTACATTTTTATTTTTTATTTACATTTGTACATTGTAATTTGCAAATATAAATATATATATTTTTTTTTGTTGAATCTGCAGTTTATTTGAATCAAGTCTATCAAAATCTATATTATTATAATATTTGATTATTATATTATATTATATTATATTATTCATTATATAAGATAGGTAGGTATAATTAGTATTAATATTTGACATAATATGAAGATGTAAAATTTGTTGATAATTTATTTATATACTATACTGCATTAAATATTGTTTACCTAATGTATAATCTAATATTTAACAATAGCTACTTATATTAATAAAATTCATTACATGTTTTTTCATTTTTCTTTTGTTGATTTTGGTTCATTCTGGATTGTGAGCCGAGGAATGGATTTATTGATTTTACAATAATGTGTTTTTTTTATTTATTTTGTGTAATATCAATTAATATTGACAGTAAAAATTTAAAATTTATTCCGACTGATGCATCAAGCAAGTATTGAAAAATCTAAATCCGTTTTCAAAACTTATGTCGGATGACGCATTCTAGAGTATGGTTAAATTTAGAATGTGTTATTTTCAATCAAAAACGGGCTGGTGTAGAGGCCCCTTAATAATTTTATAAAATTATTCTTTGGTCACTATAAGATTCTTGATAATATTATAATTTTTATATATCCTTATCACAAAATGTCCCATAATGTTGTATTATCTATGACATTACCACACTGTCCACACTTTTACCCACGATTAAGGATAACAGATTAAATGATATTGTTTTTCGTTATTTGTTAACTCGTTATTCGTTTTTAAGTTTTTAAATTTTAACTTAGAAATGAGAATTTAGATGGTTAGGATTTTAGATACTTAGATGTAAGTATATTCAAGGTTTTTAAAATTATATATAATGGATTCCTGTTCTGACCAAGATCAAGAATCTCAACCTGGACCATCGACTCCTAAAAAAAAAAGAGCTCAACGTAATGAACTTACCAAAGAAGAAATAATGAGAAATCAGAATAAACTATTTAGACATGGATGGTTACACTTAAAAGATTTTAAGTATTGGCTTCAAGAATTACCCAATGACAAATCTAAATGCAAAGTGAGTTAGAGAAGCATAGTCAAGGAAACAAACCTATATTGAACGTAAAGGGATTGAGGGAACACCAAGTATGGACATTTTCTCACAGAATCCTAAGTCAGTCGAAAAAATAAAATTAGAAACCGATGTCAAACGTGCGGAAATTAAGTTAGCTGCTTTTTTTGCAAATCATAATGTTGTGTTCCAAGCAGTTGATACCTTGACACCTATCTTACATGATTCAAAAGTAGCACAAGGTATTCAACTACATCTAAAAAAAAATAATGTACGAGCATTATAAATAATATTCTTGCACCAGTTGAAATCGAAGAGACTATAAATATTATTCGTAAATGCCCCTTTTCTGTGCTGGTAGATGAAAGCACAGACATCTGTACTCATAAATTTCTTTGTGTTCTTGTACACTATGTTCATCCTGATTATGGAACTATTCACACAAGATTACTTGAATTAGTTAGAATAGATGCTACAGATTGCAGTGCATTACAAATGTGTGAAGAATTTAGGAAGTGTTTGAGTACAAAACCAATTCCAATAACGAATTTGATTGGAGTTGCAAGTGATGGTGCCAACGTAATGGTTGGTAAAAATAACTCATTTTTTGCACATAAAAAATGATCTCCCAAATCTTGTGCTAATGGAGTGTATTTATCACTCAGCTGCTCTATAGTTGCTAGCATAGCAGCAGCAAAACTATCTCGTTCTCCTGAAGATTTAATTAGATCGGTAATTATGAAGTTTATCACATATTTTTGTAAACTATTCATATTTTTTTAGGTAGCAACTTACATTTCGGGTAGTGCTAAACTGCAATTCTTCAAGACATTCAACAGTTTTTTGGTGAAGAGAAGAAAAAAATATTGTAGCTAGCAGACACTAGATGGTTGGCGATGCACTAATGTGTAGTAAGGATGTTAGAATGCTGGAATAGTTTAACACATTATTTTCTTGTTGCTGTAAATGAAGATCACTTGAAAAGTGCAGAAAAAATACTAGATACTTTAAACAACCACGTAGTCAAAGCATACTTTTATTTTCTAAAATATTCTTTACATTTTTTCAACTCGTTTAATGCCATGTAAATAATAAAAATATTATTATTCATGAAATCTACGGACATTCATTAAGACTCTTTAAGACATTTTCACAAAACTTTATAAGACCCGAATATCTGATAACTGATGAAATAGATAAAATTTCATTTTCAAATCCCATTATTTTTTTACCAGAGTCTGAAATATTTATTGGTGCTGAATGTGAAGATTTTATAAAACATCTTCCCAGAACAATACACAGCGCTTTTAAAAATACATGCTTGACTTTTTATATTAAAGCTGCTGAGGAATTGGCTATTAGACTTCCAATTGACAGTAATTTGTTGCAAAGAATTTCAACTTTTAGACCCAAATATATGTCTTGATCCTACTAAAAGAAGTATGGTCACAGATTTACCATTAACGAGGGCTAAATTTCAAAATTGTATTGACAAAAATAAAGCTGTAGAAGAATGGCGTGAAATATTATACTTCTACAGCAATGAACAAGTATTGAAATTAAAAAAAACTTTGATATTCCAGGATTTTGGCAGGAAATAAATAAAGCAAAAGATTTTTCTAGTGACATTTTAAAATTTTCCAACATTTGCACCTTAGCAAAACTAGTTTTGTTCTTGCCACATAGTAATGCCTCAGCTGAGCTTATCTTTTTTTGTTTTAAATGATGTCAAGACCAAGAAGAGAAACCGACTTGGAGAGAACACTGTCAATGCAGTTACTGTGATCCGTTCATCGTTTCAAGACAAAAACCAAACAAGTGCAAGCTTCAAAGTAACTAATGATTATATAAAGTTACATAACCAGAATATCTACAAAAAAAGACTAAACTTTTTTTTATATGTTGTTTTTAATATAAAATATTTTATCATTTAATCTGTGATATGTGTAAACATCGTAAAGGTCCTATGTTTTTTTTAAAGTTTTTATTATTATTTTTAGATATTTAAAAATGTAACTATTTTTTAATTTGTGATATGTGTAAACTTTGTTAAGGTCCTACGTTTTTTTTAAAGTTTTTATTATTATTTTTAAATATATAAAAATGGTACTATTTTTTAATTTGTGATTTGTGTAAACATCTTAAAGGTCCTACGTTTTTATTTTTATTTTCAAATATATAAAAATGTTACTATTTTTTAATTTTTTGATATGTATAAACATCGTAAAAGTTCTACATTTTTTTTTAAGTTTTTATTTTCATTTTTAAATACATTAAGTGTTACTATTATATTTAATATATAAAATTATAATAAAAATTATATAAAACTCAAAATAGAAATAATATTGATCTCAATAAAAGTTAAATTGTACAATTATACATATAAGGCCTATGGAATGTTTGAATAAATATTTGGAGTTGTAGCCTTGTAGGTAATACATATATAAATAATAAACCAGATATCTTAGCAAAAGTAGTTTAAAGCTACTGAGTACAGACAGTAGAATTTTGTATTTATTAATATTTATGTATTAAATTAAGCAAAGTACAACAGACAACAGAAGAGTGTAGACAGTAGTCACCTGTACAATACTGGGTAGTGGCCAGTGGGTACTATAATATAGAGCATTGTCTAAAAAATAGTATCATTACCTTATACTCTGTTGTAGATTTTATATTTTAGATAATAATGAAAAATATTTTTATAATCCGCTAGTCGGCGGCACCGAAGGGAAATTTTGATTAAAAACGGGAAATTGTATAGATTCTGGTGGGAATATAGCTGAATCACCCATACCAACACTGGACACCACGGCTGCGGACGTCGCTCCGCTAGTCGCTACCGGTCCATGCGGAGAAGTGGAGAACCCCGAACCCGGCACCCGCGGAAACCGTCACTACGGTAAACGTCCCTCCGCTGCCGGTCTACAGCGTCGGGAAGCCGTCACCACGTACGTGCATTTACCTACAGGTATAATCAGAAATTTAAATAACTTTTTTTTTTATGTGTCCAATAGACCAAGCACATGTAAATACAGGATTAATAGACATGGCTTATTTTCGAAATTCGACCAAGGCATTCTGATGGACGAAGGTATGTAAAAAAAAACATTTATATATTTATGTATCATATGTTAAAAATAAAAATTATATATTTTGTAATCGTATGATCGTATAATCGTATTATTTATGTGGAACAATAATTTATATTTTAAATGTCTATAGTTGAATGGACCGAGTACAAAAAATATTATTAAGTATGCCCAGACACCAGAAATACTTCGCTCGCACCACTAATCACCTACCGACTCCAGTGCCGCGTTTGGACATTTTGCGCCGCGGTGCAAAAAAAAATTGGCACCCCTAATGGGCCTACATACGGAAAATATGGATAGATCCTCATTAACTTTTTAGGTTTTGAGCACAGAAAAGAATGTTTGTCTTACAATGTGTGCTTTTTTTTTTAAATATTGTTTACTAATTGATTGATTCTCTCTCCGCAAAGATAAAAACTATGCAAATTAATATTAATTAAAAAAATTTCAAACAGCATAATACTACATAATTATTATACTAAATTATATTATCTAATACTGTTATTAAAATAATTTAAAATAATTACATTTTAATAATTCACAAGTAAACAAAATTCTGATCACAACGTTTTGGCGCCCCTAAAATGTTGGCACCCGGGGCAGTTTTTTATTCGCCTTATTCAACTGTAAAAATAAAAACTTACCTGTCGATTCGTTGTCACACACATTATAATAATATAAGTGTGTATAAATGTCCCATCACAAGCCACACATAAAAAGTCGTTAAAAAGCTAAATTTGTCGTTAGAGTTTCTCGAAAGTTGAATTCGTTTTTAATATCGTATATTTAAGTTGGTCTATAAATAAACAAAGTATACAAGTAGGTTAAAGATTTGTCCGACGGAAAAACAGAGTTGGACACGAAAAGTTGGCCGACTGGATAACGTGTAAATCAAACGTAGCGATAACCGCTCAAACGCCGCAACAAAACATGCGACGGACGATTCGCTTCGTCCGTCTCCAAAGTGTGGTGCGTTTTTTAGATTTGGCCGCGGGGTCGTCCATGGCTGCCACCGCCATGCTTGCGTCGCTGTCACCGGTATCCGGTTCCAGTTCTGCCTGGCCGGAACGGTTGGCAGTTCTGGCACGGTCTCTCCTCGTCTTGTCCGGTCATCTGATGGCAGCGGGACTTCCGGAGCCTCGATAACGTTGCCCGGGATGAGCACAAGGGGACAGTCGACGGACACTGACGGGCCAGTGCGGTGTGGTGGCAGTGGAATTTTCCGGTAAACAGGCGCAGCAGGCTGCAGGTCGACCAGATCGAGGCCCATCGACTCGGATTCAGACGGCTTACGGCTGTTCCGTCCTTGAGGTGTCGTCTGCTTCAGCATATTTTGGTCCTAGGCAGAGTACGGTGACGTTTGCTGGCGTGGACTGCAGGTGGCTAATCGCGGATGGTCCGGTCACATTTGGCTCGGACTGGTGTCGGCGGCTAATCGCGACTGCTCCGGTAACGTTTTCCAAGGACCGGTATCGGCAGCTAATCGAGGATGGTCCGGTGACGTACCGAATAAACTGCAACAGCGTCCGTTCAGGAACGTGGAAACTTGCCGTGCGTAATTCGGCAAATACTCTTTGCATCACTTCCGTCTCGGTCGACTGCGAGTTAACGGATTGGTTTTCTGCGCAATTAATCATGATTATACGAGAATATAATATTATATAGCTATGCGTTAAACACGACAACTGGTATTATATTATAATACAACACGCACGATGTATTAGTTTGGTTAGCTGATAAATAAGAAATATTGAATTGACGGACAATAAAACATTATTATAGTGCTGTACTATTACAATCTATAGCAACAAGATTTTTGTTGATTTTTAATAGGCTTGAATAAAATATATTATAAGATACCTACTCTATTTCATATTATTAAATGCATGAATTTGAAATTTTTGGAAATGCAAGAAAATTAAAGTTATAATATTACGAAATTATGTAATACATTGTAGACAGGAATTATGAATATTCCTTATTCTAGCCCCAATTACTAATTGTGTAAGGAATCCAACTTACCATTGGTATTAAAGTATAATATATATGAGCTCAAAATAATTAAAAATTAATGATTTATTTAAAACTATGAAACATTTTGATGGCCTATGCCTAATAATATTATATTATAATACTGTGTAACCCATGTAGTACCCATGTAGTCATGTAGGTATACTAAATAATAGTAATATAGTTAGGAGAGAAAAATCCGGACCCGGGAGTAATACCTTGGGGTCCCAACTATTTTGACCTTTAACTTTGTCAGGTAACTGTCAGTAGTTAATTTTTTTCCACTATGTTCGTCAAATTCTTATTTTTAATTGTTGCTTTAGTTATACTCAATTATACTACAATTGATGCTTGGGGGTTTGCTTAGTCAGTGACACGGTTGGCGGTAATAGCTATTTTATGAGTCAGCTTCCATGTATACCATACACTTGATAAAAATAAGAAGGTTTATAAGTCAATGTACCATCACCAAATATGAGTGGATTATAATTGCACAAAAAGTTTAAACTAGATTTGCATTTTATCAATATAATGTTGTTTTCATGATCAACAAATTTCAAGTTAGTTTTTATTTGTTAAGACTGGTAAATACTTGTATCCCTAAAAACGTTATCACAGAATAGTAGGACTACCACCTCTTTCCAAGGACGTAATTTTTATAGCTGTAGTGTGGATGGTTATTTTTATATAATTTTGCAAAGCTATGTTTTAGCATACAGTTGCCGCATGATGTCAGGTAAGTCAAAAGTTTTCAACGGGGGGGTACCCCTTTGATTTTTTTACGAAAAACCACAACTACCCCGATCGAGACCAGCACTCACGACGTTGTTCGGGGACCTTAAGCAAGTGTATTGCCAAAGTTATGAAACGTTGATACTATTATATCGTAGTGTAGACATATCCGCGTATAGTTATACACAGAATTGACGTTTATTCGTACTTGCTGCGGTAATGCGCCTCCTGTCGCCATCCATCATGATTGTTAACCTCCTAAGTACATTCACAGAATAGAAGACTACCTCCTCTTTCCAAGGACGTAATTTTTATAGCTGTAGGGTGGATGGTTATTTTTAAATAATTTTGCAAAGCTATAGTTTAGCATACGGTTGCCGCATGATGTCATAAATTCGGACTTGCTGCGGTAATCATCTCCTCATCGCCAACCAATTCAAATGTTATCCCTAAAAACGTTATCACAGAATAGTAGACTACCTCCTCTTTCCAAGGACGTAATTTTTATAGCTGTAGTGTGGATGGTTATTTTTATATAATTTTGCAAAGCTATAGTTTAGCATACGGTTGCCGCATGATGTCATAAATTCGGACTTGCTGCGGTAATCGTTTCCTCATCGCTCACCAGTTCAAATGTTATCCCTAAAAACTTATTCACAGGATTTCCGACTACCTACCCTTTACAGGGACGTATTGATTGTAGCTGTAAGACCGTGGGTTTTTGTTTTTTAATGAAAATTAATGAATAAAGACCGTTATTTTAAAATAAAATCAGTATGTTACCAAAAGTTTACACTATGCAGTGTTAAACAGTGTTAAGACCGTTATGTTTTTAAATAGTTTATTTAAAAATATAGACTTTGCCGCAAGGCATTTGCGTTGAACCAACTAGTGTTTCTGTTTCTTGTCCAGCATTCCACATGCTCTCGAACTTTTTTGCTTTTTGGAGGGTGGCCAATTAAAATTTTAAAAATGTGTATAACCATATGAGATCGGCAAGTGAGGGTGTCCAAAAAACTTTCATACTCTTTGAAACCGACCGTGGGTTGGTTCCAACCCTACGAGCAATGTGTTAACGTTTTAAATAGCGTTGAATACGGTCTTCGGATAACATGATTTTATTTCGGAGAGTTTGTTTCCTTGGATCGTTTTTGGTTATTGGTCTTATCGGACAAAATAGTCCATTTGAAAACTGACTTTTAAAAGGCAGTATATCTTTATTTGGAACGTAATAATCGTACTGATCGTATATTCCTCCGGGATATTTAACATATACTTTGTCGCCGATTATATTTGTTATTACTGCCGCTAAATACGGGTTTCCAGATACATACACATTGACTGGCATGCCCACTGCATAAACTGCATCGTGTCGTCCATGATTATCAGCGTTAATTATCGAGCAAGCCCCTTCGTTGCCAAAATTGCTTTCGCATACATTACTCTGGAATTTACCTCTTTTTCGCATGGGTGGGAAATTATATCGCCGGCAGTCAATTACGGGACGGTTGCATTCGCCACTAGGAACGTTTTGCTCCGGTTCATCACGCTTTCGAGTTCCGGAATCATTGGCCTGAAGACATCGATGAGTAATATTATCTATGTCCTGTTCATTGCATACAGCTACGTTTTGCATTTCACATCGGTTATAATCAATCGAAGGTCCGGCAACAGTCTGCGCACCTGCATTGTCATGTTCGTGGCATTTCTGCCGTACTCGTTTGAATGGGGACAAAGGGCGTAAGTCTTGAACTGCAGGGCGTTTGACGTATAGTGAATTCGTACCCTCTAGAACTTGGATACGTAGGACTTGCGTACTCATTAAGCACTTTTCGTATATCACTGATTGTGTCCTCGTGTGGGTCCATCACAATATCATTGTTTCGTAGATCTGTCCAGCCCGACCAGCTTATGTCGTACGGATGGAAATCCATATCCGTAAACATGAACCTTTTGTTTACGACTTTATAACTGTTTTCAAATATTGGCTAAAAGTAAAAACATCAATAATTAATTATTATAATATGGGCGGAGAAACAATAATATAAGTACAATATAAGAGGTTAGGTTTGCGAGTAATAATCTTATGCGAATATGAATTTCTCCCCCTTTATTTTATCATTTTATCATTGATAAATGAGTCGCAAAATGGTGGCATAGCATACCCATGTTAATATTTAGAACCTTACCCCAACTAATGTACTCCTGTTTCTTGTCCAGCATTCCACATACTCTCGAACCTTTTTGCTTTTTGGAGGGTGGCCAAATAAAATTTTAAAAATGTGTATAACCATATGAGATCGGCAAGTGAGGGTGTCCAAAAAACTTTCATACTCTGCCTTTGACACTGACCGTGGGTTGGTTCCAACCCTACGAGCAACGAATTCGCGTATAACCAAGGCAACAATTTTTCGGAAATGCATCTAAATTTTTGAATATAGTACCTGTGGTTAGTGTTATAAGTATTTATTATAAGTCAAAATAAGTGTACAACTTTTGAAGTTTTTAAATTAAATGAAAGAATATTGTATACAATCGTATCCAATGAAATTATTAATACATAATTTATTAAGGCCATAATATATTTTAATATAGGTATAATTAATAATAATAAAGGCATAATTTACCCAATTTTTTTAAATGAATTTATCAAATAGTACCTACTGAATTAAAACTTGGATATGACAATTTATTAATTTCCATTACATAGATAGTACTGTTTGTAGGTGTAGGACTTTTGGTTATTATTTAATAAATTTTCAAAATATTAGTTTAGCATACGGTAGCCGTATGATGCTCTGTATTCGGACTTTCTGCGGTAATCGTCTCCTCAGTTCAAATGTTACCCCTAAAAACTTATTCACAGGATTGCTGACTACCTACCCTTTACAGGGACGTATTGTTTGTAGCTGTAGGGCGGCTGGTGTGTGGCCGATCGCCGAGTAATCGCACGTATCACCTGTGTGTTTTGCAAACACCAACAATCACCTGTGTCGGCTACACGGTGTAATAATTTCAAAGTTACTCGCTGCGGTAATCGTCTCCTCATCGCTCACCAGTTTAAATGTTATCCCTAAGAACTTATTCACAGGATAGCAGACTACCTACCCTTTACAGGGACGTATTGTTTGTAGCTGTATGAGTGTGGGTTATTTTTAAATAATTTTTCAAAGTTTTAGTTTAGCATACGGTCATCATACATGCTCGGTATTCGGACTTGCTGCGGTAATCATCTCCTCATCGCCAACCAATTCAAATGTTATCCCTAAAAACGTTATCACAGAATAGTAGACTACCTCCTCTTTCCAAGGACGTAATTTTAGATTCTGAGCGAAGCGATGAATGTATTGATTTTACAATGATGTGTGTTTTTTTTTTTTATTTTTTTTTATTTTTGTGTCTGTCATCACCTTTTAGGACAGTAAAAATGCTTCGATTTTCTTCAACAGTAACTTTTCTGATAGGAAAGTGAATCTAGTTGGTACTTTGGGGGGTCAAAAGTATAAATTTCCCAATAGTTTTCAAAAGCGACGTGAAAAACAAAAGAAACATTAAGGAAAAACGGGAATTTTTACGCAAAATTGATTTTTATCAAAATCGATTTTGGTTTTTGGTGTAACTCTGAAACAAATGATCGTAGATGCATGAAATTTTCACTGGTTTATATTTGCATTTTCTATACACGATAAAATTTTCAAAATAATTCGACCCTTTTTGAACTGTTTACGGACATTGTCAGTTTTCGATATTTTTAGTTTTTTTTTTTCTATAAATATCAATTAAATTTTATTTGTTGGTTAAAAAAGCTTGAAAATTTAATAGAAGGCTCCTAGTATATTGTTTCAAAGGCAGATGAAAAAAATAAAAAATCGTTAGTCACAGTTTTTATTTATAAGTATTTAAAGTTCAAATCTTGACAAAATACGGAAAAATCACGAAAATTAGCAAATTAGTTTGAATTGAAAATTCGTAAAAATTTTTCTTTTAAAAATCTAAGGTTTGAAAATGTAATACAAGATTCCTCATAAGTTTGTCTACCTTTGTCAAAAAAAAAATGTCTACTAGAAAGTCAAATTAAATTTTTATGAGCGTTTGAAATTTATATTTTTACAACATTTGATATTCACTCGATTTCTTATGTAACGATTTGCTTATTTTGTTGTAATTAAAAAACGAATGACTGTAGATACTTGAAAATTTCACTGAATGTTTATATAAGGTTTTTCTATACACGATAAAATTTTGAAAATAATTTGACTTTTTTTGAGCTGTTTACGGACATTGTCAGTTTTCAATTTTTTTAGTTTTTTTTTCTATAAATATCAATAAAATTTTATTTGTTGGGTAAAAAATCGTGAAAATTTAATGCAAGGCTCCTGCTATATTGTTACAATAGCAGTTGAAAAATATTGAAAATACATAGGCACAATTTTTTTTTATAAGCATTTAAAGTTCAAATTTGGACAACATTTATCAAATTTAAAATTTAATAATTATTTTGTAGTTAATCATTTATAAAATGTTCAACTTTTATAGCTAAGGATTGAAAATTTAAAACAAGGTTCCACGTAAGTAGTTAATTATGTAACCAAAAAATCTCATTTTAAGTTCAAATTTGGACGAATTACAAATTAAAAAACCTAGAATATTCTTTTTAGTTATTTTGTTGTGATTGTACAATATTATTCTTGGGTAGGTACTTGAAACTTCTAAAGTAAACTATTATATATCTGTGATAGTATCACAGTTTGTTGTTGATGTATAACGCGTTATAAGTACCTAATGGATATTGTGATATGATTAATTTGGAATTTATTATGGGTGAATTATTTTTTTAATACCATAGATAAGTATATAATATGTCTTAAACCTAGACTGACATACCGTCTCCGCTAAGAATCGTTTTTCTTATACAATGATATTATATCATTGAATTCAAATTTAATACCATCCATTATACAGTGACCCACTTGCAACCTACTGTACAGCAGAGCGACATCCACTTGCCCACCTTTTTTTTTATAGCTGTAGGGGTATGTAGAAACAGACCAAGAGCGAGTGTCTCGAAATAATTCCCTGTGAGTTACCCCGGCACCGGTGACCAAACAGTAATCGTTTAATTACGTAATCGGTGCGACTCGCGCTAACGATGTACAGTAACGGGCGCAAAACCTGATAAAAAAGACGCAGCCCTACAACCAAATGCAGACACCACATTCCAAATTTCCTAATTTCAACTTTTAAAATCATGAGGCAACACTGTCAGCATATTATCGTGTTGAATGCATGAACTATCTATTAACCACAAATTTTACTGCCGTTCATTTTGCAATCAGCTCTACTGAACGATAGATGTTCGACAATGACGACAAGCGGACAACCACGTGAGTATTAACTATTGTACACATTTGTCTACTACTAGCAATAAATATTCTATTCTATTCTATATCGAAGTAGCTATACACGACGGGCGTAATACGCCGCGGCAAAAAACGCCGGTCGTCTTGTATTACGCCCGTCGGGTAAAGCTACTCCGATATAAATTAAGAGGACGCTATACCCGCATGCGTTGTCTTCGTCATACAAGCGCACAACGATTACGATAGGTCTTTGTTCGTGAAGGTATGAACGGACGACCCTGCTGTGACCATTAACGTGTTCAATGTTTGTGTGATAACAGTTGATAATAGTTTTCAATGATTGTTATTGTTATTGCAGGTTACATGGACGACGAAGAATGGCCATTGAAGTGTGTAAGTATTTTTTTTGTTTAAGATCAAATAAACGTTTTAACAATAACGCACTGTTCGGGGGGGACTTTTTTTTTGCAGTGCATGTCGTGTAGTTGACTCATTATATTTTATTTTAGGATAGACGTGCTGCCGTGTTGTGTGTGGCGGATGACGCGTGCCTTAATAGTATTCTGGATAGAATTCTTGGAATACAGACGCATCGCAACAAAACTCCACAATTTCATTTCAAAGATTCTGAAATCCGTCATATCATAAATAAACAACAACTTATTTATAAAGCTTTTTGTAATAATCCAGTTCCATATACAATTCAAAAACACAACAGATTTGACGAACTGAATGGTAATTTATAGTGATATTTATACATTTTTTTTTAATCAGTAAATAAAGTTAAAAGTCAAATATAAGTTTAATTTAATGTGCTTAAATTAGGTGCAAAGGTAGTGGCTACAAAGCACATAAAAAAAAACATTGTGTTGTTTGAGCTATGTGGACAATTATATCCATTTAGTGACAAATTCCTAATACCAGGGGTAAACGACTTCTCCACTGTCACTTCTAGCGTAAATGACAAAGACTATATGTTTCTTGGGCCAGTGGCATTCATCAATCATGACTGCCACCCAAATACCCAGTGGCACAGTAGAACAAAGACATTATCTTGTGTCAAGACACTAAGAGATATATTTACAAACGAAGAAATAACTGTGTTCTATGGACCAAACTTTTTTGGTGTTAATAACCGATACTGTAAATGCAAAACATGCGAAGACCATCATAGAGGATTCTTCTCGGTAAAAAAAGGTAAACACACCATTTACCACATGTTGCACAAGTTCATTTCAATATCTAAACCTGTAGAATTATTTTGAATACATTATATTTTCATTACAGCAGTAAGTATGGATATCGAGCAGGATAAAGTCACACAGCCAACTAGTAAAGACTTACAGGATATAAACAAAAGTGACAATAGTGATTGTAAGAATGATGATGACGATAGAAGTGGTTCCAGAAATTTGAATACCAATACAGGTAATAACAATGCTCACCTAAGCTATTTGTTTATGTCATTTATGTGATTGTAGGGGCAATATTTATTATAAAATAATTTTTCAAATTTATCATATACTATCATACATGTTACTAATACATTTTAACATTTTTATGGACACTTTATCCAAACCACTTGCTGTATCGTCTTAAAAGCTATTAATAATATCAAGTATGTCTGACGATTCGATTTTTTTAAGAAACGCCTCATTAAAAGAAACGTTATTGGGAACATGACTATTCTCTGAATTGATTGGTTTTTTTATATTATTCAGAATATTTATAAAAAAATTATTAAATATACTAGATACTGTTATTGGATCATTTTTCACATTTACTTCATACTCATTATTTTTTAGTTCGACAATATATCATCTTTAAATCTCAATTTAGAACCTGTAACTTCGTTTATTAGATTCCATGTCGATTTTGGATTAGAACTTGCATTTTTAAATTTTTGTTCATAAAAATTATTTTTAGCTAGCCTTATAGTTTTTGTGAGATTATTCTTGTATTTTTTATAATGCTAAGCTAACGTTAAATTATTTCGAAGTTTTTTGCATTTCATGTTTATAGAAAAAAAAAACTATAAAAATTAAAATTTTAAATGGTCCGTAAAAAGCTCAAAAAGATTCAAATTATTTTAAAAATTGTACGGTGTATATAAAATGCTAATATAAACATTCAGTGAAAAATTCAAGTATCATTCGTTTTTTTAATTACAACAAAAGAAGAAAATCGTTACATGAGAAATCGAGTGAATATCAAATGATATTTTAGGAAATTTTAGGAAAATCCACCGGAAAAGTAGAAAATTTGAATGTCAAAACATACAATTGTGACGCCGTCTGTCCAGAAAAATTTTAACTAAATTATAACAAATTTAGTTTCAGATTAAAATAATAATAGTGTATTGTATAGTGCTTGCTATTGGTTACGGGCATGTTTGTTTATTTGAATTATTATTTTTTGTCAATATATAAAAACAGTCGTTCTCGATTGATGATGTAACATACATTTTTCACGCTCCATTTTTATATATATAGATGAATTTTTCTGTGTAGATTATACCTTTGGGAAGGGGATAGGCTAATTTAAAAAAGGATTAAATTTGTTTTTTTTTTTATTCATCGGATTTTAGTACGGTTATGTAGGTTAGGATTTTGTATTAATTGATTTTATTAATCCACCGTATAGGTGGAATTAAGTAAAAATGACAAACTTGGTATAACTTTGATACTCTAGAGTTAAATCATGAAGCAAAACCGCGATAATATACCTACTGAGTAAATATTGAGCGTATTATACTCACATATAAGTTACCTACCTACATAAAACAATGACACGTCTTCGTGGATGAGGAGGAAATATTGATCGACAGACTCGGCATTTACAATTAGTCCAGCCGTTTAGGAGGAGTTCAATGACATACTTGGTATAACTACCTTAGAGTTAAATTATAAAGTTACTTTGGTACTTTTTGAGTTGAATCATACACTTACGTACAAACATCACGGGGTCCGCGATCTATCGCAGGTAGATTGCCTACTTGATAATAGACTGCTGCGAATCAGAATTTTTATCCCAAGCAACAGAAGAGTTTAGATAAATTTTGAACACCATACACGTTAAATAACGAATTGAACAAAGTTTGAGTCATATAGAGTTGGTACATTTAACGGGAAACGAAGTGCAAGGGATCAGCTAGTTTCAAAACAAATATTAAATACTATTACTATTAAAAAATATTTGTATGTAGCCCCTTGCCCCCAAAAACAAAAATCCTGGATGAGCCCCTTTTTCTCATGGTATACATGTGCAACTTATTATTATTATTTTTTGTTTCAGCACAGGGAATATCCAAAGAGACGGCTCCTCAATGGATTTACACACAGATTACTTCGAAGAATCGGGAATCCCCCTTGTCCAGAGCTTTGATGTAATAGATGAAGAGTTCCCCATTTTCGATGATACTATTTCATCTGCGGACGAAAGTCAACTCGCCGCAGTGGATGAATCATTAAGGTGGATTATCGATGAACTACCAACGTTTCCTAACCTAGAATTTTTAGTTAATGACTTTATTTCCGAGACTGAAGATACAGTAACATCATATTACGATACTGATCCTCCGCATTTACAAACGACTGATGAGGTGCAGACAAATACAGAAACGCTTCCAACTGCAGAACCGCCTGTGGAGATTTTAACAGATACACAAAATCTTGACATTCCACACAACTATAACACCCGTAGGGCGTGTTACAAAAAACAAATATCAAATCTCTTTGCTCAAGAAAAAGAACTATTAAACCGACTAAAAAAGAACCAGCAGCGACCAAAACCAAAAGAAGCACCGACTCCACACGGCCAATGGCTTCATACAAAGGATTGGGTTCACATTCACCTCCTCAGGTTTGATATACCCATTAAAAAAGTCCCAAACTATAATCCTTTGATGAAGCCACACAGAACTAGAAAGGCTCGTTCCAAAAAGCCATCTACCACATCACACTAACAACACAATTTTCTTTCATTTTGGTAACTTAGTTTTATGAATCACATAAGTGATATGTTTCCGTACATATCATTTATGTGTCTGTTATATTTCATTTGAATTTCCATGTCCGCTTTTACATAACAAATGTGACATAACAATGTTATATAATGTTACATTTTCAATAGCAATAATTGTTATGTTTATGCAACACATTATAGATGTTTCCGATACATATACTTTTACTTTTTATTTATGTAAATAGTATATGATTGTTTCATAAAATTGTACCTAGTATATCTGTTGTAAATAATTATATTATAAAATAATGTACCACTTAAAATATTTATAATAATATTATGCTGCAGAATATAAATTATATTATATTTTATTATTATATAATTATATTATATGCACTATAGTGAGCTGAAATTTATTATATACTTTAATACAATAAATTGTGATATAATAACAATACACTTTATTATTATTATTTTGTTATTTTTTTAATTATATTGTATTTTATGCACTTTTGATATATAAATAGTATTATATATTATAAGCGATCTTATTCATATATCCTCTTCGTGCATGTAGGTATCATATGATACCGCAACTAATTTAAACCGCTTATAAAGCAGCTGTTAAATATTTTTGATCCATTTGTGCATAAAGATATCATATGATACACTTGATAACAACCGTCTCATAATATTCGTTCCTATGTTCAGACTATATGAGAATTTTTAGTCACATGTGTGATAACCTACTGTATTGATAAAACGCAAAATATACCGACAAAACTGTTGTTATATCTCATCGTTAAAATATTTTAGCTACATCAAAAATTATTTTTTAGGTTTGTTTTTGTATAAGGTACACGTAAGAGTACATTTAAGAGTCAATTTTGATCTTTGACATCTATTATTGTTAGGTAATATACTCGGTATCATTTGATACAACTGTGCATAATTGGTACCTACAACTATACTAACAAAAACTATTACCTAGGTAATAATACATTTGTTTTTATTTTAGTAATAATAAATGGAGAAGTTGAAAGACGATGAAATTGAGTTGTTCTTGGACTTTGAAATACCAAGTGACTCAGAAGTCAGCTTTTGTGATAGTGAAGACGATGATAGTGATGCTGAGAATAATACAAACAAAAATGATGACCAGGAAGATAATATTGAAAAATTAAATTTATTGCCTCAATATATTAACTTCTTAGGGGATATGGACAATGATATAAGGTTTGAAAATAATAATCCATCTAATGAGCCTGATGGCTTTGTAATAATCGACGAAAATGATGTACATGATTTTGATAGTTTTTTTAATAACATAATACTCCAAACACAAACAGATAGTAATGTTAGCAAACAAACTATTCCAAAATCTGATGTTGCTGCTCAAAACAATTTAGTTTCACCCACACAAACATCTAACCAAATTCTAAATCCTATAGCCACTCAGTCACTAACAAATAAAAAAAGAAAAACTCCATCAACCGATTCTAAAAGTAAAACTAAGTTTAAAAAATCTGCTTTACTAAAAATTAACAATAATAAACATAATTGTTTACCTGTCAAGAAAAAAAATACAAAACAGACAAAATGGTTTCCTGGTAGGGATAATAAGCATACAAACTCCATACCTACTTTTACTGGCAATAAATTAATTAATATAAATGTAAAAGAAACTACTCCTTATTCTGTTTTTATACAATTATTCACTGAATCTCTTTTTGAAAAAATAAGAACTGAAACAATAAAATATGCTGTTCAAAATGGAAAAGAAAATTTCAACTTATCTATAAAAGAATTGAAAGTGTTTTTTGCAATCAACATAGCAATGACATATATAAAATACCCAAATGTAAGAATGTATTGGTCTTCTCAAGAGGGGTTGAGAATGAACCTTATTCCTGATGCTATGACTTGTAACCGGTTTGCCGAAATTAAAAGGTTTATTCATTTTGTAGACAATTATGAAAAACCTCAAGTAGTAACTTGAAAAAAATTTTGGAAAATTAGACCTGTTTTAGACATTTTACACAATTCTTTTCATTCAGCTATATCAACTAGTCAAAATATAGCCATTGATGAAATGATGGTTCCTTTTAAGGGTAGGAGTTCATTAAAACAATACTTAAAATCAAAGCCTAAAAAATGGGGATTTAAAATTTGGGTTCAAGCCGGAACCAATGGATATGTACATTGTTTTGAGCTTTATCAAGGTGCCTCGAAAGACAAAAAATCACTTTTTGGTCCAATAGGTGATACAGTTTTGAAATTGTGTCATTCAATACATGGTGAAAACCATAAACTTTTCATGGATAACTTGTTTACTACTGTTCCACTATTAAGAAAATTAAAGTCTCTAAACATACATGTCCTTGGTACTCTAAGATTGAATAGAGTAACTGGAATTGAAAATTACCTAGTCAAAGATAAATTGTTGGAAAGAGGTAACTGTTCAATAGCCACATCTGATGACAATCTGACTGTTGTACGATGGAAAGATACTAAACTAGTACATACTATATCGACATATGCTGGGGCTAGTCCTGAAGATATAACTTCACGTTATGAGAGGAAGGAAAAGAAAAAAATTGAAGTCACTCGTCCATTTGCTATACAGGAGTACAATAAATTCATGGGGGGTGTGGACCTCATAGATAGAATGATTGCTCATTACCCTCATGGATTCAAGAACAAAAAATGGTACTTGAGGATTTTTTTTCATTTTTTGAATATTAGTATAATTAACTCATGGATAATATACAAAGAAAATTGTCAAAATATACCACTTCTTCAGTTTAAAGCATCAATTGTTTGGACCATGCTCCAAATAGGAAAATGTGATACACCAAAAAGAGGCAGGCCTTCCTTACAATCTGATCCAAAAAAAAAAAAAAAAAAATGTTTCCATTGTAGTTTCAGAAATAAGATATGATGGTAAGGAACATTATCCTGGTAAAACGACAAAAGCTCAAGCTTCTAAGTGTCATAATTTATATTGCAAATCAAGAACTAGGTATATTTGTAAAAAATGTGATACTCCAGTTTGTCCAGAGTGCATGGAAGACTTCCATAGAAAATAAAGAATGAACTTTAATATTTTTTTTTACTTTGTTTTGATATTTGTTGGGTAACATTTAGTATTGTTTTTATGTTTATTTTGTGCAATTTAGTTATTGCTTACTATTTTTATTATTATATTATCTTCATAAGAAATATTACAAGTTATTATTTTAATTTTATACAGAGTATGAAAGAAGTTTTTCATTTATTTTTATTTTGTTAGTAACATATTTTTTATTTTATGCATATATTAATTGTATTACTATTATTCTTAATCTATTTATAACCACAAGCTGTGAAAATATTGTTTTTATTTCATACAAATTGTTATTATTTTATGTTTGGATTATATATTATATTATTATATATTATATTGTATTATGTTTAACCGGTTTTATATATCCCATTAAAAAAAAAAAAAAAAAAAAAACAAATTATAAAATCCTTCAATATTGATATAATATTTAAACAAAACAAAAATTATACAAATATAAAAGTATTATTAGGTATAGCGAGATACATTAATAGTTATACTAATACAATATATACCTATTTAATTAAAATAATATTATTTTTTATGTTACGCCTTTTTAACATAATTATAAGATTTCAATATTCATTTTCAAGATTAAAATAATAAAATATGACCCAGAAATATCTGAACCAGAAAAGCTATCTACAGGACTATCCAAATCTGAAGTTAGTGCCAAATATGATGATGAAGAGTTACAAGCTGACCCTGATGAAGATGATGAACATGATCATCATAATTTGGTGAAATTGGGGATTCAACTTCAGGAATTATATTATTAACTGCAGCACTTGTAATGCATGTTATAATTGATTGGTTGTCTGCATTATTTAGTTTCCCAAGGTTATTAATATTAGTATCATGATTATTATATGATTTAAGTGTAAGTGGATCATATTCATCATCAGATTCAGTTAAAGATGAGTCATCTGTACAGTGTACTATGAATGTTGTTAATAGTATAATTTGATTGATTCACTCTACGTATATGTCTTTTAGAACACTGAGTTAACAATTTGCGGCGTTTGTTGATGAATCATTAAGGTGGATTATCGATGAACTACCAACGTTTCCTAACCTAGAATTTTTAGTTAATGACTTTATTTCCGAGACTGAAGATACAGTAACATCATATTACGATACTGATCCTCCGCATTTACAAACGACTGATGAGGTGCAGACAAATACAGAAACGCTTCCAACTGCAGAACCGCCTGTGGAGATTTTAACAGATACACAAAATCTTGACATTCCACACAACTATAACACCCGTAGGGCGTGTTACAAAAAACAAATATCAAATCTCTTTGCTCAAGAAAAAGAACTATTAAACCGACTAAAAAAGAACCAGCAGCGACCAAAACCAAAAGAAGCACCGACTCCACACGGCCAATGGCTTCATACAAAGGATTGGGTTCACATTCACCTCCTCAGGTTTGATATACCCATTAAAAAAGTCCCAAACTATAATAATTTGATGAAGCCACACAGAACTAGAAAGGCTCGTTCCAAAAAGCCATCTACCACATCACACTAACAACACAATTTTCTTTCATTTTGGTAACTTAGTTTTATGAATCACATAAGTGATATGTTTCCGTACATATCATTTATGTGTCTGTTATATTTCATTTGAATTTCCATGTCCGCTTTTACATAACAAATGTGACATAACAATGTTATATAATGTTACATTTTCAATAGCAATAATTGTTATGTTTATGCAACACATTATAGATGTTTCCGATACATATACTTTTACTTTTTATTTATGTAAATAGTATATGATTGTTTCATAAAATTGTACCTAGTATATCTGTTGTAAATAATTATATTATAAAATAATGTACCACTTAAAATATTTATAATAATATTATGCTTTGTCCAGAAGAAATAAACGG